GTGTTGTTTAAAATAGAAAATTGATGGATCTGAAATCCATTTCTGCTTAATATGATTCTTGAGGTAGTATTTTAATAAAGTCGTAAAAAGAACATTTAAAGTCTTAGATCAATTTTTAAATTGTATAGCTTGGCCCATAAATAATTCCTATTTATGGAGCGAAAAGCTAACAGTCAGTGAATCAATACATAACCTAGTCATTATGGCCCTACTCCCTGCCTACCCCTGACAGCTGGGCGTGATGGGTGATTCAAAACCAGGCTGGACTCTTTCCTCAAGATGTTCATAATACGCTTCAGGGGCTTTCGAATGTTGTATGCATTGGAATCTTCCCTGAAGCTTGTCAAAAATAGAGCTGCCTGGGCTCCACTCTAGACCCACTCACTGTCTTAGTCCCTTCAGACGGCTATAACAAGATACTACAGATGGGGGTCTGGGAAGTCCAGGATCAAGGCACTAACATGGTTTCCTGGTGAGGGCCCTCTTCCCGATTCATAGCTGGTGACTTCTTGCTGTTTTCTTATATGGTGGAGGGCGCTAGGGATCTCTCTGGAGCCTCTTTTGTAAGGACCTAATCTCATTCATGAGGATTCCACTCTTGTGACCTAAGTAGCTCCTAAGGACCCACCTCTGAATATCATTACCTTGGGAGTTAAGATTTTAGCATATGAATTGGGGAGGGGGGACCATTTAGACCATAGTGCCCACTGAATCAAAATCTTGGGGAGTAGGGTCTGGGTATCTTTATATTTGACAAGCTCCTTAGGCGATTCTGATATTCATCAAGGTGTTTGAGCCAGCCATGTGGTTGATGGTGTTTTAGTAACATATAAACCACTACACTGTTTTCTCTATTGTACTGTACTGTATATATGTCTATATATATACAGCATCTCAGGAAGTATGTATAGGAGATATATAGGCATACACATATGTAGCTGGACACACAGTCTCTTATTTGCATGTATAGTATTGAAATACGCCTGCAGATAAATATACATCTATTATTTTAAATCATAGTAAACATTTATCGAGCATCTATATGTATCAAGCAGTGTTAATTCATTCAACAGATATTTGTTAAGTGCCCTCTATGAGCCATCAGAAACCGAAATGGACAAAAGTCCCTATCCTTGGGGAGGGGATGGGGACTTCCAGTGATGGTGGAGGGATTGCAATTTAGAATAGGGTGGTTGGGGAAGACTTGAGGAAGGAGAGGGAGTAAGCATGTGGATATTTGGAGCACAACTGTTCTAGGTTTGGGGAACAAGAAATGCAAAGCCCTGACCTAAGAAGGAGAATTCTTGGTGGATTCAGGAAACAGCAAGGAGGCCAGGAGCTGGGACAAAATAGCCACAGTCAGAGAGGCAAGGAATGGGTGGAGCTGTGGATCTTTTAGGAGCCCGTAAGCCTCTGGAGGAGTTTGGCTTTTACTCTGAGAGAGAAGGGAAGGGTTCTGAGCCTAGGAATGACACAGTCTGACAGGTTTTAACGGGGTCATTCTGGCCGATGAGAACAGGCTGGAGGGAGTGGGCAAGGCCAGAATCAGGAGACCAGTTAGGAGGCCACTCTGCAGTGGCCTCCTAGAATGAACACTCATAGAATGGTGTTCTATGGATGAATCCATGGGAGAGATGGTAAATGTGCCGGGAAAGGAGCGGTGAAGGTGGCGAAAAGAACGTGGCTTCCAGCTGCATGTGAAGGCAGAGCTAGCAATTTTACTGATGGATTAGATGCAGGCTGTGTGAGGGCTGCAGTAGGTTTTCCAAGGATGCCAGGCCTGGCTGCTGGCTGTACTTTACTCTGTGGCCAGATTTGGTTCTGGATGGGGTTATGATTTGGTTCTAAGAAAATGATCATATTTTGGTTTTTAAAACAAACCTTGTACACTTAAAATTTGTAAATTTATTGTATGTACATAATACCTTAAAGAAAAAAACAATTCATCCTAAGTAGTCGGGGTCTGACTCTTTGCAGCAAGCCCCTCACCAGGATACTGGCAAACAGGGACAGTACCCACGATGACAGTTCTTCTTGATGTGTAGGAAGGCTCTGGAAAACTGCCTGGGCCCACAAAAAATATATATTCTGAATAGGATAATGAATAATATTTATTGTTCCATTTATTTCAAAGCACTTTTATGTAAATCTTCAAAAAATCCTTTCTGAGGCTGATAGTGGAGGATATTATTATCCACATCTGAGGGTTTAGGAACCTGAGGTCTAGAGAGGATAAGAGACGTGGGAAGGATTAACTTTGCTAGAGCAGATCTTCTTTTATGAAGTCATTTTATGACTTTCTCCTCTCGATTGTGTGCCTGGATGTGTAGTGACTAGACCTCAATCCAGGAACAGAAGTATGTTTGTGCACACGCGTACATGTGCATGCACGTGAATCACTTGGGTTACTAAGTACAACGATCTAGTAAAGGAATTGGAACTGATTGTTCAAACCTTCTATAATTCATGCCCCTTGGTTCCTCTCCTTCTCTCTCTCTTCCTTCTCCATCTCTTCATTTGATCATTTTGTTTCTGAATAGTAATTTTCACTGAAGGTTGGGCTAGGGAAATAAAAAGATATGAAAGTCACATTTGGTAGTGTGGAGAATAATTTTAATAAAAACTGCAGTGGAGAATGCAGTTGTAATTAGCACTAAAATGAAATTCTGAATTGCTGGTGGATTTCAGCTTGCTTCATTTTCCTGATCCTTTGTTCCTTTAAAAAACTGAGTTTGATTATGCCAAGCACCTAGCGAGACTAAGCTCCCTTTGTCTTGCTAAAGAAGCCATGTCTGTACTGGGATGGCTGTGAGCAGGGCCTGGGACGCCTAACAGCATTTAATGCATTTGCCTGTTTCAGTTTGCAGTGATGACCTCACTCACAAATTCAAAGGTTTCACCGTGATGAATGAAGCAGAGAGATATGAAGCTCTCAGACACTGTCGCTATGTAGATGAAGTCATCAGAGATGCTCCATGGACACTCACGCCAGAGTTTCTGGAAAAACACAAGGTACTTATTCTTCCATGTTCTCTGAGTAGCAGAATTAGGAAGTATGGCTCGGTGGCCAATGCCCAGAAAACCCAAAGACTCCTCCAATTTCTAAAAGAGATAACTTCAGGAATCGTCACGTGGTGTCACTTGATATAGCACCTCTCTCCTGCCCCCGTATGGGGACTTGTATCTTCTCACTCCTTCGGTGTGAGCTCTGGAACTAGACTACCCAGGTCCAAGTGCAGCCTCTATCCCTTCCTAACCTGGAGCAAAATATTGAACTCACCTGCCTAAACTGTAAAATGGGGTGATATTGATGCTTACCTCACAGGGCTGTTTTGAGGATCTAAAGAGATAATGTAAGTGAAACCCTTGGAACTCTGGCTGGCCCATAGCAAGAGCTCCAAAAATGTCATCGTCATCATCACCACCATCATCATTTTTTGTGCTTATAGACTCACGGGCATCGTTTTTTATGGAACAAATGAACACGTGTCTTATCCAGAAGGGCATGGGTCAGCCTTTAAGGAAAGAACTTTATGTCTATGATTTTGTGACCCTGAGACTCCTACTGATATGAGATTTTTATTAGTTGAAAACATGAGAAATTCTTTTGATCTGCATCAAATTATGTGCTTTGTATCTCCCTACAAGCCTCACATTAGGAGCTATTCTTTCCTTTTATAAGCAGTACAAAAAAATAAGATTAAGCTGTTCTAAGAGTTTTCTTTTCTATTTTTAAATTCACGATGCAGAAGAGAATAGAGAACACTGATAAATGTGCATGGGTAATAGCAGAGGAGACAATTTCCCAGCAAGAATAAAAAGAAAAAGGAAGAACTACAATATGATTTACTTCCAGCAATCACTAACACATTTTTACTAAGCATCTATTGTATATTCAACTTGTGCTAGGCATTATGGGGACTCGTGATGGTAATGATGGCTGCCACTTATTGAGTATTCAGCACGTGCCCAGCACTGTGCTAAGTGCTTTACTTGTACACAAATTGCATTCAAAATCTCATGGCTACCCTGAGAAGTTATTGTTATTGTTATTATTATACATTGGAGAGGAGGGGGGACTAAGTTTGAGTACTAAGAATAGGATTCTTAATAGTAATAACATTTACTGAATACTTCCTGTGTACCAGTTATTATTTTTAAGGACTTTTACATAATTGTATCATTTAATCCAGTGATTCTCAAATGGGGACAAGTTTGCCTCTAAGGGACATTTGGCAATGTCTGGAACATTTTTGGCTGTCACAGCTAGAGGGGTGCTACTGGCATCTAGTGGGTAAATGCCAGGGGTGCTGCTAAGCATCTTATAGTACACAGGCCAGACCCTCCCCCTAAAGAATTATCGGTTCAAAATGTCACTAGTACCAAGGTTGAGGAATCCTGATTGAATTTTTACAACCAATTTTTAACTTACATAGCTAGTAAACGGTGGGGCAGGAATCTACCCAGGCAAATTAAACTGCTACTCCAAATTACCTCTCAAGGTGCAGTGAAGCTGTGTTATAAAGGGCTTTGAAAGTTAAGCAAGATTTTACTTGATGTAGTAGGAAACAGGGAACTAATAAAGATCAGCAGGCACGAGGGTGACAAAAAGAAAATTCTGTTTAAGGAGGATCCCCCATGTGATAGAGGGGTGGCTTAGAGAGGAGAGAGTCTGCAGTGAGGAAGGTCAGATACAAGTTAGTATCACTGATCCAGGTGACAGGGTCCTGGGTTAGTGTAGTAGCAATGGAGAAGAAGCAAGGCTGATTCCAAGGGTTTGGGGCCTCGATGAACTGGGGAAATGGAGGTGCTGTTGGAAGGCGACACCTGTTTTCAGGATGAATTAAATTCCAGACAGGTGGATTTTAAAGTGACAGCAAGGGGTGGTGCAAGAAAAAGGTGACTTTGGGCAAATCTGACAAGTTTTCCAGTTTCAGCAGCCTTATGTCTCAACTGAAATAGCAATATATGCCCTACCTACCTCACAAGGTGGTTGTGAAAATCAAATGAGAAAAGAGATTAAATTCATTCATCAGACTAAATTTATTGCCACAATATAAGCTATGACTTAAATGTGAGGACCTATTGCCATCAGTGGGATGGGAAATGGAGACTTGGGTTTCTCATCATAGCGAGAGTGACTAAGATCTGAAGAATGAATGAATTCTCTGAAGGACAAAGTTTAGAGGCAGAAAAACAGAACGCCAAGAAAACCTGCTGCCAGAGTTAAGAGAAAGAGGGACCAGCAAGGAGAGAAATCGATCTAGTTCCCATTATCTCATGGAAATGGAGACAGTTGGAAATACTTTTCAGTCAAGGATTCCAATCCACACTATAAACTGTTTATTTCAACTGCTTTATTACAGCTGCTTTATTTCAAAGAGGCATTTTCAAATCACAGATATGCACATCCATCCCAATGGTGACGTCACTCTTCTCTCTCCAACAGATTGACTTTGTGGCCCATGATGACATTCCGTACTCTTCTGCTGGCTCTGATGATGTTTACAAGCACATAAAGGAAGCAGGTGAGGAGTTCTCGTGGGCTCCCTTGTCCACTGCAGCACAATAATCAGGTTTAATGAGACATCTGCCCTGGGCCTGCAGCGTAGACATACAGGTATTGGAATTTCAGATATCTCCCAAATAGCCTCTACAAGCTTCTGTTGACATGTGCTAAATGGCACAGACACCAGTTAGGTATTTATATTGGAATTAACCTGAGCCCCAACATACTCAACCCGTTTGAGGCTTGATTAGAGTTCACCAGATTAAAATCACAAAACCCTATTATTTAAAGGGCAATCATTTTCCTCATTCACAATGAAGTGTTCGGAATGAAATTACTTTATACTGTCAAGAAAGTTTCTTCCACTAGAAGACTGGCTAAATTAACCTGGACTCCTTTCCTCCAAAGTCCACCCTGCCATATGTCATCTTATCACATGATCGTAGTATCCTCAGGTATCACATGCAGAGGCAAAAAAAGAAGTTACGTATTTGTAGAATCAGGTTAAGATATTTTCTTCCTGAAACCATCGTGGAGCACAAACATGGTGCCGGAGCTTTGGAAGTTGTCTCATTTGTCACTAAGTATTTCTGTTAAGGTCAGAGACTCGTCAGCTCCAGGGAGTTACTGGGGGCCTGGAAAGGGGTGAGTTTCCTTCTGATGCAGGTTCCCTGGAGTCAATTCCTTCATTACATTCTCTATTCCTACTTTTACGCTGCTGGAATTGCTGTTGGGGCTTTGTGACTAATCTGTGGTTTCCGGCTTCAGCCGGATTCTCGGGGCTCCTTGGTGACATTTACCTCCTCTTTTTACCCTTTCCACCCCAATTTACCCATAACTCATACATGCTTTCCTCCTCTCCTGCTTCTTGAGGAAGAAGGGTACGTTTTCTGTTCCAGGCTAACCTCTTTGTCTGAACCTACCATCTCCCTTCCCCAGAGCCTGTCTTTCTCCTTCTTCCTCTCTTTGCTATCCAAGGTTCTTACTCTTCTCAGCTTGCAATCAAGTGGAAGTCTACAAAAATAAAACAAACCCAAATCTTACCTCTGCCATCCCTCTTTCCTGCTTCTCCAGCCACGTCTTTTCTCAGTCCTCCCCTTCTAGGCAACTTGCAGGCACATGTCCCTGTCATTCCTCGGCCACCTGCACTCTGACTTCTGTCCTATCCTTCCTGAGTTCTGCAATGACTTTTGAACTACCAAATCCAGCGGCCTCATTTCAGTCCTCCTCTGGGCATAAAGACCATGCTGACTGATCTTTTTTCTTAGATGCTCTTGTCTGATGCTTCCAGGACACTTCTGGGATGTTCTAATTTTCCTCCGGCCTCTCTGACCACTCTTGGGTTTTGTTATCGGTTTCTCTCCCTTAGCCTTGTTCCAACTCTCCATCTCACCAGCCTGGGCTCTATGCACCACCTTCCACAGGCCCTAAGGTTCCAGCACATCCCCGTGCTTGGAACACTTTTTCTCTGAGCTACTACTGTGCTTATTCCAGGCGCAGTTGAGGAACCAGCCTAGACATGCCCTCTCTCCCTGGGGCATAATTCAGTACCCCTCTTCCTCATCTTCCTCCAACACTCATTACATTGGACTTCCCTTTCAGCTCTCTTCTCATATCATCCTGATGGTTTCTCTGTGTGTATCCCTAGCTAGAATGAAATGCCACAGTCCGTGGCCGTATCTCATCAATTTTTGTATCCCTAGCACAGTGCCTCCTACATCTGTAGTGAGCATGAAATGCTGTTGAACAAGAGAGTGGTTTTATGGAGTATGATAGGGAGTTAGTCTAAGATGGAAGCCTTCTGTCTGCAAGGGCTCTTCCCAACACACGTGGAATGGAGCGATTTAGATAATTTGGGCACACACTTCTATCGTGGAATTTTTCATATTTTTTTAGATGTAGGGGTAATATTTTGGTCTGAATTAGTGGACCTTTGCATCCAATTTGTTTACTTTCCACTGGTATATTGGCTCTGAGTCCCTCACACACCCCTTTATTGAAGGAGATGCTGACCACAAAATCACAGACATACCCCAGAGATACTGCAGGTTTGCTTCCAGACCTCCAAATAGAGTACAGTACTTCAAATCATCATAGCCTCACAGGCAAGCAAAATCTCAGTGAGAGATATAAGGGTTTGCCACTTGACTTGTTTCAAAAATGACTATGATCTGAATGAAAAATCTTTAAAATTGTATCTATGAATTTGCATTTCTTGCTCTATTTATAACAAGCAAGTGAATATAAATCACAAATTGTAGGTACTCTTTTGGACAAATATATGATGGAAAAATTGTCTCTGCTATACACTCACTATCCAATATTTGTTATTTTCCTGAGCTGAGGTTTTTAGTCAATGTCACAGAGTTTAAAACAATCACCTAAGAATTAAAATAGTAATTGCTGGGATTTTTTAAATACCCTGCCTCACCAGATTATATCCATTTGGATTACTTAAAAAGACAGATGGGGAAAAGGTAATTACTTCTATCCTCTTATAGGGTCAGATGGCTTTTCTGACCCTAAAAATGGAGACGTTCGAGATGGAGGGGCAGTTATAGTAACCTGAATTACTCAGCTTCTCCATCCCTCTCCTTCATCAGACCACCTTCCTTAAACCTCCCATCAGCCTGTTGCTGCATGATAATCTTAGAGCAAGGAAGAGTAAGGAAGGGAGCAGCTGGAATTGGTATTTTAGGTAAAGGTAGATGCAGAAGTAGATTTTTAATGGCTTGTTTTGTTGTTGGTGTTGTTTGTTTTTTGCTATTTTACTTTCTACCATACATTTCATCTATAGGCACTGTAAGTACATCCATGCATACCTTCCTACATACATTAAACCATTATCTGGCATGGTACAGATACACTAGTGAATTATCATATGCTTTACTTAGGGACTTCAAGAAGTCTAATGCACCCCACATTATACTTGAGCTGCCTCCATTGCTGACATCTGCCATCAGAGTTATGTTCTCCCATTACTGGAGCCTACTGGAACTCAACCCATGTTGGTCCCACCATCCCTTACCCTTAGCCTGCTGTCACTATAATCTTTTCCTGGCACTCATTGACCTTCAGACTTTTTAGATAGCATGGGCACCTAAAGGTGACTAACCTAGTCTCCTATCCCTTCCTTGGCTTCACTGTCAGCTTTTCGTAGGATTGATTCTTGTACATCTCCTGTGATGGGGAGTTCCCTACCTCTGCAGCCCATTCCATCTTTGGATAGTTTTGATTCTCATGAGTTAACCCATGAATCCTCTGAGTGCATCCCTAAGCCAGGGATTATTGGAGGGCAAATGGAATGCAAATTTGAATAATACATAGCCCTACTCTTGAGAGAGAGCATAGACAGACACAAATAATTATACAAAAATATTATAAGCCTGTGATGGGGCATATACAACAGTCTGGGGAGGCATGTCCAATAGTGGGAGTGTATGAAGAAATGTAGCATATTTGGAGAAAATCAACAATGTTTATGTAGCATAAGGTGTGTAGAGGGGAGAGCAGAGATGGAGACTGATGGGACAGGATTGTTAAGTCTTAATTCTGTATGTCACATAGAGCCAGATGCCATCCTGAGGTAGGAGAATGCCATGAGGAGGTCTTTTGTGGGGTAAGGACCAATTGGGTATGGGGATGAAAGTAATTTCTGTAACTGAACTTACTTAGGAACCCCCATTTCCAGGAAAAAAATATGCTTGACATTTGAAGTAATTCAGACTCTTCTAGATTTGCCCCAAGATTAGGTGGAGTCAACTTTTGGCCTTTTTCTCCTGGGGTAATCTATGTTTTTGGGACCTATGTATTGGTCTATCATGGATTGGGATCCTAGTTCTTGCTGAGCTTTCATTTTGGGGTATCAAGATACACTCAGCCATCACCTATGGCTACCAGATTCCAATTGCGACCCTTTAACACTCAGCCACCTCCTCCTTCTGTTTCCCATCTGCCTTCCCCTTTGGCCTGTCCTTGCCATAGCCTCTGCTGTAGGATTCCCTTAACCATACTACAGGTGAGCCACCCAGCAGTCATACTGGTCTTAAAACTCAGCTACTTTCAGTGTTCCTAGAGAGTGTCCCTGGGAACTTGTCTTCCATAGTCTACTGGAGGGCAGTGGAAGCATGGGCAATGAGAGGGAGGCATGTCAGGCCCTGACTTGCCTATCATGAAAAACACTCTGCTGAGCGTCCCCACGTTGGCATGGAGCCTCTGTGTGACCATTTCCTCCCAAAGTTACTGGAGGTAAACAGGGTGCCAGCCCCTCTGCTCTGGGCTTTCTCAGGGGATCACTTCAGACTTGCAAAGCTGCTGAGAAACATGTTGGGAGAAACTGGCTGATGCATCGCTTACATTGAGGTGGGTTATGGCATGAGGTGATAATTACCTTTTAAGTTTTTGTAAGATCTGAACTGTAAGCCAGCTACTCCTCCTCTAAAATTACCATGAAAGACCTAGTAGAGACCAGTGCTTGTCGAATGGAAATGTGGATTCAGTGGGCCTGGTGAGACCTAAGATCCCCATTTCTGATGAGCTCCCAGGTTGTTGGATGCTGCAAGTCCACACATCTGAGAGTAGCGAGAATCTAGACCAGGGATTCTGCTTCACCCAGGGCTACCTCTGGGGTTGATTGAATCAGCATTTCCTTGAGTGGTAGTTCCTCAGCTACATTGTAGAGTAGGAACAAGCATTTGGTGGTGGTTCTATTTATCAGCGAGTGACCTCTGTTGAGCTAAGAAAAAGTTGCATTTCTAGTTTTAGGGAGTAAAACTTCAAGTCCAGTTCTTTAGATAAATGTAGGAACAGGTCCAGCATTTTTCTAACTCTAAGCAATCTAGTGCCCTATTGTTGCATAAGAAATTACTCCCATAATTAGTGACTTAAAAGAGCCACTTTATTTTGCTCATGATTTTTGTGGAGCGGAATGTCAGCAAGGACTTGGCTGGGTGGTTCTTGCTTGGGGTCTCTTGAACAGTTGTCAGATGTTGGCTGGGGCTGCAGCCATCTGAAGACCCAACTGGGCTGGAGGTCTCAGATGGGGCATTGATGTGGCTGGCAGCAAATGTTGGCTGTTCACGGGGAGCTCAGTTGGACTTGACACTGAAGTGCCTATATGTGCTCTTCTGCATTGTGTGGGCTTCTCGCAGCATGGCGGCTGAGTTCCAAGAGTGTACGTACTAAGAGGAGGTATTCGCAGGGCTAGCGATCTTGACAGAAGCTGCGAGGCTTCTTTTGACCTAGCATTGGAAGTTACCCAGCCTGACTTATACCACATTCAATTTGTTACAAGCAAATCACTAAGGCCAGCCCAGATTCCAGGGGATGGGAACTGTGCCCATCTTTAACTCACCACAATTCTCATCTCCAAATTGAATGGTCAGGTGGCATTTTAATTGCCCTGGGAGCACAAGCATAAGACTGTGTGACTTTTCATATGTACAGGGACCCTTTCTTGGGACCCTTTCTTGTGATCCATTGATCTGCTCTGCTGAGTCCTCACCAAGGGAGAGCCACAGCAGAGATGTGTTTGAGGCCCAGGTAGAAGAGGCCACAGTATTCATTGTGAGCGAAAGATGCTCAGAAATAGCCTAAGCATCCACATTTGGTTTTTATACTCTAATTGAGGTGTATTTTGAAAGTCAGAAATCACTTCAAATGAAGCCAGAGATATCAAGGGCATGAATTAAACTTTACGGCACTCTGCTATGCTTGTCAGAGCTACATATCAAAATCCTCCAGCAACGCTGGATGAAAAGATGGAGCTTAAATGAAGTAGACTATAAGGTCCACATTACTCATCATCATTCTAATATTGCCTACTACTGTTGAAAGTTTCCTTCATTAACATGTGCTTTGCTGCTGCTTAAAATAGCTCCATAACCAAATGCCGCAATTCTGAAAAGCATGATAAAAAAGGTTCTCTGATCATGCTCATTACTGAATATTTTTAGCAGAGCAATAATTAGGATGTAGAGGAAGCCGGGTGCTTCATTATGTCAGCAGAGGGCTTGGCTTCTTTCAGAGACCTACCTCCCAACCAGCCAAAGCAAATCTCTCCCAACCCCAACTTTTAGTTACTTAGCCACAGAGACCTCATCCTGTGGCTTTAAAGAAAGGGTGAGCTCATGTCACCAGTGTCTAAGTGACTTGCTAAAATCCATTAGTAGTTGGAGGATCTTCTTAACATTTCAGTAGGCAGGGGTGAGAGTGAAATATGTCTACTGAAAAATGGGACACACTCCTTTCCAGAAAGTTCCCTGTTGCTCCCCGCAAGGTGAGGCTGTTATTTCACGACCCCTTGGCTTAGGACCACTTAGCATTCTCCACCCACCAAAGCACCCTGCACAGCTGGTGCTCTTTATATCCATGCATTTAGATGTTTGCATCCTCTGCCTACTATTTGGTTTTCTGTGTTTTCGTTCACTTTATTAGAAAATGATATAAGAAGTTTTTGGTTTAATAGCAAACCCCAACTCTGTCCTCTGAACCACGGAATATTAGAAACTGGATGCTTAATGTCTAACATCAGCAGTCCCACCCTGCTGCTGACACTGGGGTTGTGCAGATGATATCAAAAGAAAGCTCGAAAGGGACACCTTAGTAGGGGCCAGAATACTGAAAAATTCACCCATGTCAGTAGAATCAGAGAAAACTGGATTTGGAAAGACACTTAGAGATCAATATCCATCCAGTCATTCATTCAACAAATATTCTTATAGTGCCTGCTTGTCACCCAGTGCTGAGAATATAGAAGAGACAGGAGCAGTTCCTTCCTTCACATAGCTTATAGTCAAGTGGAAAAGGCAGTTATTGACCAAATTGTTTTATAAAGACCTTGAAATATTTGAAGGAAAAGAGCAGTTGAACCATGGGAGGGAATAACAAGTAGAAAGACTCAGTCTGGGGGTGGACAAATTTCCTCGAGGAAGTGACACTTAAGGTAAAACCCAATAGATGACGAAGGATTAACCAGGTATAGAGAGTGTTTGCAGCAGAGCGAGGGGAGAGGAGTCAGCCCTTTCAGGACTCTGAAGTCCAGTGTGGCTGGGCCAACTCAGGGTCAGGCTGTTGCCCATCTCCATAGAGTACAATGACAATGGTGTCCCCTGTAGCTGTGTTGCTTGGGGGCTTGGCTTAGGGAGTGAAGGAGGAAGGGAGGAGAGGGTCTGAGATGAGACTGGAGAGAAGCACAGGGAAGAGATGATGCAGGCTGATGCAGAGCCAAGTTAAGGGTTTGAATCCAAATACAGAAGAAAGTAGAAATCCAATGAAGGCTGTTGGACAGGCATCTGACTTGCATTTTGAAAGACTATTTTATGGATCTTGCTATGTGAAGAATGGATTGAGAGGACAAAATGACAATGTTGCTGGAAACTAGTTTTGAACAAGATGGTATTAGATTAGTTTAGATGGCGAATGGAGAAAAGTGGTAAATTGGAGAGACATTTAGGAAGTAGATTGGTGATTGGAAGGAAATTGGGTGTGGGGAATGAAGGAGAGGGAAGTGGCTTGGATGAGCCCATGGTCACCTTGTCCAGCCACCTCATTTCTCAGCTTTGGAGACTGAGGTTGAATAACTTGCCTTCTGAGCTTTGAGAGACTTTCCAAGTCTACAAACCAAGATCCCAGCACTGTTGTCTCCAGGCTCTATCCATCATGTTGTCTCATGCCTGATGTCTCTGAGTAGCCATAATCATACTGGGTAGAAAGATCTCAGTTGCCAACATGGCATTTCAGTTGACAACAGAAGTATAAGCATAAACCAGATTCTGCTCTTTGATAACATTTGTGACCTCTTTTTAGCCCTGTCTGATATATATACCCAAATACATCTGAGGACTTTCAGGAGGTTCTAATAGAACTTGGCATCCTCTATGCTTATTTTTACTCAGTCCCACATATTCTAGATGAAAGGTCCTTTGATTGATAAAATCACCATCCAGAGTAGAAAAGTCTTAGGAAGATAAAATCATCTGACACTCCACAGGCATGTCTTTAGATCAGAGACAACAAAAATAGTACACTTTTTCTTCTTTTTCTTTGGTATAAGGTGACACAGACTTCCTTGGGGAAGAAAGGGAGTTGCTGTGATCTGACTAATTCATTGACTCAATTGTTATTCTCTATTCACTTACTCATTTAATTTGCATTTACTGAGCACCTTCCATGTGCTAGACACAAGTGTACTGAGCTGGGTGCTAGGGAAGCAAAGATAGTCAAGGCATAATCTATGCTTTCAGAACGTTCCCCTTCTACAAGGAGACAGATGTTTAAAATACTTTTATTAATGGAAGATGAGTTTATGTCGTAAATGTTGTGGATTCTGCCGCGTGGTGTCAGAAAAGATTTCCCAGAGGCATAACCTTGAAGCTGAATGCTGCCGGATGAGGAAGAATGTTGTCGCCCATGTGGGCAGGGAACGGGGATCTAAGGCAGAAAGAAAGGTTGGGAAAATGCTAGGATCCAGGTGAATGCATGGTGCATCTAGGGAACAGATCCAGGATGACAGTAAACACAGTACTGCAGGGAGGGAACATTCAAAACTGATCCTGAAAGAGATCAGCTGGGGCCAGATATGAAAGCCTTACTGAGACACCTAGGATATGCAACTTTGTCCCAGAAAAGGAGGGCCATTAAAAAAAATGGGTCAACCAAATCATCATAGTTTTTCTCTTTATCTCCTCTTTCCTACTTGAACAGGAATGTTTGTTCCAACGCAGAGAACAGAAGGCATCTCAACATCAGACATCATCACCAGAATTGTCCGAGACTATGATGTTTATGCCCGACGTAACCTCCAGAGAGGGTACACAGCCAAGGAACTGAATGTCAGCTTTATAAATGTAAGTGTACCACCCCATACCCTTTGATGATCACCACATAACACCACTGCCACCATTTATTGAACATTTACTATATGCCAGTGTTCTCGATGTTTTACATTTATCATCTCATTCAATCCATATAACAACCCAATGTTGTATTATTATCCCCACTTTATAGCTGGGGAAACCAGTGTCCAAAGGAGTAACATAAGTTAACCAAGGCACACAGGTATGAGCTTCACATTTGATAAAGGAGCCGCCTTACTTCCCTCCCCTCACTCCAACCTCCCTTCCTTTGAGCTCTCCGACCTGGGTGAAGGGTTTCTGGGAGATCTGCCATCGTGAAAGGCAAGAGTTGTCTTCTGCTCAAAAGGAAAGAGGACAGCGGTGATAAAAAGCTAAACCTAGAGAAAATGCTTTCTTGTTCTAACATTTTTAAAATTTTCATCTTATCTAGGCCTTACAGATGCTCATTAGATATCTTAACAGCTGTTTTTTATTGTCCAGAGAAATTACAGCTGCTTAAATAAAGCCTAAAGTTTTTGGCTCCCTTTAGTATTTCTGCTGTATTGTTCCCACAGAGCTTCTGTTAGTTTAATAATAGAGCAACCGTTAAAACAATCTTTAAAACAAGCAAAACAAGCTGTTAAAGCAGAGGGCGCCCCAGTTGCTGGAGGTGATCTTAGTGAGTCTGGACAACTATATTTGCCTGGACTCTGAGGAGCTGATGTAGTTGATTAAAACAAGCACTCTCCATCCATACAGAATTTCAACCCCCCGAAATAGATACTGTATTTTCGAAGATGGATTTTTTTTTTATTTTTTACAAAACTAGATGCTTATAATTATGTGCAGCCATAATTGTCCAGCAGCTTACACAAATCTGTCACTGGTACCTTCACAATAAGGAGGGACTCATTAATTGTAAATCAGTGGTTAGTTTTCCTCATGAGGCAGGGGTTGTTGGGAGGCCAGGTTCTGTGGCTTCGTATTAGCTGGGCGACAAAATGGAAAATGTTGGGTTCCAGTGGCACCACTGTAAGTGGCTGAAAAGAATTCAGTCAAAGTGATTATTTGGTATCTTATAAAGAATAAAGCCCTGGTTATGTCAGTAAATTAAACTGTTTTTTTAAACTGAATTCAGTCAACTGTCCAAGCATGTTGAACCATTTCCAAAAGTTGCTCACTCTCTTTAAGCAGCCTTTGGATAAGCCACTTAGCTCAGGGAACCATGTAGTCAGCATAGATGCACTCATGGCCTTTCTGTGACAACAAATCTGGCTGCAGCCCAGAGATGAAATCAAATGTGTCGGATGGGCATGTAGGTGAATCACTCAGAGGTGGCAAGAACCTGACGAGGGTCCATCACCCTAGTCCAGGTCCCTTCATTTGGAAATAAGGAAAGCTGAGCTCAGAGAGGGAACCTGACCAAGGTTCCCCAAGCAAGGTAGAGGTAGAGGCAGCAGCAGCCTCCCAGCCTCTTGACTCCCAGCCCAGTGCTCATTCTACTACTCTGTGCTGCCCCTGAGAGCTGTATATAATAATCATATATATAGTTGAGTGGCAGCACATATAGCTCGCACCCCACCCTGAAACTTCAGTAAGTTTTGGAAGGTCTAAATCAGGGAATCCTGACCCAGTTTTGCAATATTCCAGGTACCTCAAAAAATTCTGAAATATGAACTTCAGTCCTATGTAGTGAAAAAAATGGTAAACCTTATTACCACTTTAGGAAAAATGTATCATGATTTAATGGAAGGGAACACCCTTTGTCTCGTTATTTTCATGGTTTTGATACCACTCTCAGGTAACACAATTAAATGTCTGTGCTGCTTAATAGTAATGAAACAGACAACACACACTGAGCTTTTACTAAATGCCAGGCTTTGTGGCAAGCATGTTTAATGCATTGTCTTATCTAATTATTAACAGCAATCCTATAAGGTAGAGATGATAAATATACCCATTTTACAGATAAGGAAACTGAGGTTTCCTTGGGTGATACGTGAATTGCCCAACATATGATGCCTTCCAGGCATATAGGTATACCACTGCTGCATGAAGACTATAAGAAGAACAAAATCCCAGTCCAGAGAAGCTATCAGAACTAAACCTTTCTTGATCACCAAGGAAATCAATACAGTTCAATTAGTTTAATGGAAAATATCATTACAATGAAACTTTTCATATAACACATGGGTTCTAAGGCCCGTCCAGTAGCCCGCTTATTTCAGCCATTATTGGTTTTAACAATGTCCCAGTAAAATAGAGGACTCGAGCAATGTGAGTGGCCATTCTATGTACAATTCATACTTTTGTCTAAGTCCCAAAAGAATTGAGGGGGTGTATTTGCCAAATATCTACCCATAATCAAGAGCAAATATATTTTTTTGTTGTTATTTAAGTGAATTCAACTCAGACATTTACAGGAAAGAGAATATTAAAACCACTTCTAGTTCACTCTACATATCCAGGTAGACTGATGACAAATGACTTCTTACAAGAGATGTGCCTTCCCATCAATCCAGCCCTTGGGAAATAGCAACAGCCTGACTCTTCAGGTTAAGAACAAACACAAGTTGAAATTCAACATAACAATTAGTGTGAATGATTGATCTCTCTCGTGCCCTCTTGGATAAATTCATTTTTTTTCTCCTTTAATTTTTGACCAGGAGAAGAAGTACCGCTTCCAAAACCAAGTAGACAAGATGAAGGAAAAGGTCAAGAATGTGGAAGAAAGATCAAAAGAATTTGTTAACAGAGTGGAAGAAAAGAGTCATGATCTAATTCAAAAATGGGAAGAGAAGTCAAGGGAATTCATTGGCAACTTCCTAGAACTGTTTGGGCCAGATGGAGCATGGGTATGTAATTACTTCATTTGATCCTCCATTGACGAGTATTTTCAGTTTATCCTCCTTTTCACGTGACCACTCAAGGAAGTCCCTTATCTCAAGTCCAATATGTGGCCCGTACCTTGGGTATCCACCTGAGTGACTTGAAGTTCATTTCACTTCCTTATTTAGTTCCTGCTCTTTACCCCTCAATATGGCACCCAGTAGCACCCAAAGCCAGCTCTGGTGTCTGTTTCTATATCTTACCCAGAGCTTGAAGCCATTTGGTAATTGTTGAATGTCTATTACTGCAGAGGCTGGTTTCATAGCTTATCCCAGGCTTTTAACTGGCGATGATGCAAAGCTTGGGGGTAAGGGTAAAGTGAGTCAGTGGCATCATGGAACTTATGTTGTAAGTCAAGGCTCAGGGGAGGAGGATGCGAAAGAAATGTAGCTGCCTTGGTCAGCTTTTATTGTCAGGAACTCTCCTCTTTCACTGATTGGAAGAGCAAAAAAAAAGATAGGGTTTCGTCCTGCATCTGTGCCCATCATGCCCCATTTTTCTTTTGTTTTTCCGTGGGATGTATATATACACTGGTGCAAAAGCCTTAGGGACTGAGGCCATAATCTGAATCTTAAAACAGAGAGGAAATGTCGAGGATCTCCTGCCTCAATTCTACAGATAATTCTAAGTGAAAACTATGGGAAGGGAAACAAATTCTGGAAACCACCTTGTATTCCATTGGTATTTCTATTGTGCATGTATCTCTAAATAACCAGTATTGTCAGCAGAGTTAATGAGGTTCCCATAAAAGAGATACTTTTACAGCTAACTTTCCTTTTAAAGCAAAAAGAAATGATTCCATTTGACTTCCCTGATTTTAAGTAGCCTAGATTTCCTATTATGACATGAGAAGTCTCTAACAAAATCCACTTCGGCTTAATTATTTTATTGATGGGTTGTCACTGCTGCCTCTCTGCTCATTTGAGCTGGTTCATTATAGGATTATCTAAAAGTAAAACACTCAATTAGTAATGAAAAAAGAACGTTTGAGAAGTTGGAAGAGATGCTTTGCTTAAAGTGATTATGGAGGTGGATATGTTAGGCCAACCATATCCTATTGGCTGAATCTGAGAGGGGTAGAGGATTTGCAGGGGGCTCCCTGTTGACTTCTAGAAAGAGCTGGCAAGAGTAGAGAAGTAATGGGCTGAATTCCTTCTCATTTTCCCCTGGCCTGTTAAAATTTTCACTCAGGTCAATTTAATTCATGGGACATTTATTAATGTCCTTGTCTGTGCATAGTACTAGGGAAGAACATGAAGTACAGACCCTGTTCTCTGGTATTCCATGTTCTCTATAAGATAAAGTCTGAAATTTCCCATTAATCTAGTGTATACTTCAACAATTCACATTTTCACAACTAATTTTCAGGCTCTGAAGAAATAGCTAGTGTTTTTTATTTTTTTATTATGAAACTATGTAGGTGTTCATTTGCTTACAGGGATTCAGAAATATGTCTCTACTGAGAAGCCCTGGTATTATAACTCGGGGGAGTGGATGTTTCTCCATATGGAGTGTGTAAAGGCAGGGAAGGAATATAATTTCATAGAAACTCTGTAGACCCTAGTCATTTCAGGCTCCCGGTAAAGGTGAAATATTAGCTGGAATTGTTCTAGGGGAGTCTGGTGACAGCGAGCTGAGGTGATTTTTAAGAAATGAAATCCAGCTTAGAGACTGGAGGTTTTTCTTTTTAAAACTTGCTATTAGTGTCAAAACTGTTATTAACATTAATTTACTGTATCAGCCAGACTTAGACATTACTTTTTTTCTGTTGACATTAAATGTACAGAAATAGTTACAAGGATGTTAAACGCCAAGATAAGTAATTTGCTTTTCATGAATATGCTATTATTATAATAATTCTTTATTTGTGGATTTGGGACTGGAACTCATTTCTTAAAATAGAGGATCTACCTTATCTGCAAATACAGTACAAATAACTGAAACTTGGAAAGACACAAAATAGAAGAATTTAATGTAGAAAATTTGGCACAACAGGATTGGTAGGCAGCATAGTATGTAGGTTATAGTAGGTACTCTATTACATGTTTCTGGATTGAATGCATGGAGTGATGGATGTGTCATAAAGACCTATTAATGGAATCTTCCAGTATCTGCAAAGCAAATGGTGAGGCCATATAGAGATCAATACACACGCACGCACGCGTACACACACACATAGATGCTGGATATATGGTGCAGGATACAGGGCTTGGTTACAACTTGGTATTTGGTGGATCGAATTTATTAGGCAGACTTGGTTTGCTTGGCCCTCAACAATGTTTTAACAGTTCTTTTAGGGAGGGTACAAGCTTTCTAGTTTGTAGCGTCCACACCATTCCCCAGCATTCTTCCCTGCCACCCCCTCTAACCTGACTTGCACATTGATGCTACCTCCCTGGCCCCAGAGAATGTTTGTTATTTCCCTGTGGTATAGAGTCTTTAAGTCTCCTCAGGTGACCTCATGTGTGATATCAAAACTATGATATAAAATCCAAACGCTTACATTCTGAGTGGAAAGTGGTGGTGGTAGCAGCCATGATGATGATGATGTTACTGTCTGGAAGTTCTATGTAGCAGGTTAAATTCTTTTCCAAAGTCCTTTCATGTCTACTATACCCATTTTAACCACACAAGAAAGTAGTCTTGTGTTATAAAGAAACAAAGGCCTAGAAAAATTATGAAACTTTCCTATGGTCTCACAGGAGTTTGGAGGGACTGGGATAGAACCTTGGGCTCAGCCTCTTACTCCCAGCTAGCAATGTGTCGTCCCTCATGATAAGAATGTCCACGGGATGCGGTCACTTTGCTTTACTTCAGGGTGTGGCATTGTGGAGAAACTGAGGTTTTCCAAAACTTTTCAAAGGCTTTGTGACAAAGCCAGATGCCAAAGTGGCACTTTAGACAAGATCATCTACATTCAGGAGAGGTACTGTCGGCTTACTCCCTAAGCAAGCAAAAACCACGGTGTCCATGGTTGTATTACTTATCTATTAGTATGTAACAAATTACCCCCAAACTTAGTGACTTAAAAACAACAAACATTATCTCACAGTTTGTGAAGGTCAGAAATCAGGAAGCAGCTTAACTGGATAGTGATGACTTGGGGTCTCTCATGAAGTTTCAGTCAAGATGTCAGCTGGAGCTGCAGTCGTCGATGGCTGGAGGATCCTCTTCCACAGTCACTGAGGTTGACTGGATACCTCAGTTCCACAGCACGTGGGCCTTTCCATGCAGCTGCCCATGTGTCCTTATGACATGACAGCTTTCTTCCCCCAGAGTGAGCGAGCGATAAAGAGAGTCTAAGACAAAAGCTAGTCTTTAAATTTTTGAAATTTTTCAGTTACAGTCGACATACATTATATTAGTTTCAGGTGTACAACATGGTGATCAGATGTTTACATACCTTCTGAAGTGATCACCTCGATAAGTCTAGTACCATAGTTATGACAATATTATTGACTATATTCTATATACTGTACTCTATATCCCCGTGACTATTTTTATAACAGGCAATTTGTACTTGTTAGTCCTTTCACCTTTTTCACCCATCCCCCAGACCCCCTCCCATCTTGCGGTGATCAATTTATTCTCTGAATCTATACGTTTGTCTTATTTTGTTTTTTAGATCACTTAGAAAGCTAATATGAAGGTTAAAAGACAAAAGTAGTAAAAACTATAACTACAGGAATAGTTAAGGGATACGCAAGATAAAAAGATGTAAAAGGTGACATCAGAACAAAGTGTCTGGGATGGGGAGAGTAAAAATGTGGAGCTTTAAAATGTATTCAGATATAAGGGGGAAAAATGAGCTTGAGATCATAGATACAGAGAACAGATTGGTGGTTGCCAGATGCAGGGTGTAGAGAGGTGAATAAAATGGATGAAGGCGGTCAAAAGGTATAAACTTTCAGTTAAAAAATAAATAAGCCTTGGGGATGTAATGTATAGCATCATGACTAGATTTAATATTGTATTACTGTACAGTACATTACTGTATTACCATAATATACATGCTATACATTATATATTTGAAAGTTGCTAAGAGACTAGATCTTAAAAGTTGTATCATACAAAATTTTGTAATTGTGTATGGTGACAGATGTTAGTCTTGTGGTGATCATTTTGCAATATATACAAATACCAGATCATTATGTTGTACAACTGAAACTTACATGTCAATCATACCTGAATTAAAAAAATAAATGTGAGCATAGACTTTTTTCTCTGTTATTTACTCCTGTGTCCTTAAAGCTTATATTAATGCCAGAACCATACATAGTGTGCTATCACTAAATTTTTGGAAGAATGAGTCTTTGGTCAACTTTCAGATTCTCCATGCCAGGAAAACCCTCCATAGTACTTTGTAATAGACGAAATGTATCTTTTCAGCTTCTATCATGGAAATGCCCTATACCGTGCTAACAAAAGAAAAAATCTCATGTGTATATACACACATGTGCACACATATACAATGGGGTATTATTTATATCTACCGCATTTTGTTTATCCATTCACCCACTGGTGGACATTTGGATTGTTTTCACCTTTTGGCTATTGTGAATAATGCTGATGTAAACAGATGTACAAATAACCGTTTAAGTCCCTGCTTTCAATTATTTTGGGTGGATACATAAAAGTGGAATTGCTAAATCATATGGTAATTGTAAGTTTTTTGAGGAACTACCATACTGTTTTTCACAGTTGCTGCACCATTTTATATTCTCACCACATTGCACAAGAGTCCTCATTTCTCTACATCCTCTCTAGTACTTCTTTTTTATGTTTTTATAATAGCCATCCTAATGGCACTGCTAATTTTTAAGGCTGTTTTGATTTGGAGAAAAGAAATATAAAATTCAGTTTGTAGATATGAATTAGATTTCCCACTTGAGTCTTTTTGACAGTGGTTTCAAAATTTGTCTTCCAACAAACACACAAGTAAAACACGAACAAACATGAAAAGCTT